TATTTTGAGTAAATATGTATTCTAATATTTTTGTCGAACACAAAATTTATTGCAAATAAAGTATTGGCATGACTTGCTGAAAAGGTTAAAAAAAAAAAATACTATAAGTATATTAAATACTATACAATATCAATATCAAGATAGTGCATATGTACTTGAGAATATTCAAATTTTTGTGATATTTTAAAAAATTAATTAAGAAAAATAGTAATACATTCCTTTTAATATATATATATAATAAATTTGAAATTTTTTAATCTTGTAACAAAATACATATTAAAGCTTATAATATGTACTATATTCATGATTAGTCTGATTTCAAAATTTTATTATACATATTTCATATAGAGAACTATTGATAATGCCTTTTTAAGTAACAGTAAATTTATATATAGTTTTAATACATATGACATAATTAAACTATATACATATACTATTAAAATATATAAATATTTTTTGTTTTATATAAAAACTGCAATCATATGTAACTTGTTAATCTAGTGTGATATATAGTGCGTGACACCTAATCACATTAAGGTATTATTAGAGCGCTGAAATTTTTGCCTATAGTGTAACATTAAATTAGCTAATCAAATATAATAAAATCATGATTTGTGTAATCTACTAATGAAATAGAAGATTATCCATTAGTATATATAACAATAATATCATAGTCATAATCTCCATATAGTATAACAATTGACCTTTGTCATTATACTATATTCCTTGTATTTTGTGGTAGTGGTGCTTTTGAGATGACGCCTTGAGGTAGTACTTCGTGCAGTATTCAGTACTTCATGGTGGCATTTCGGTCTTAATCTGTAGTGTGAATTTGGATTTTTGTGATAGTGCTTCGTCTTCATAGTTTCATCCTCATGGTATTGTATTTCTTCATCCTGTGATAGTTTCTCGTCCCTGTGGTAGTTCCTCATCTCTGTAGTAGTTCCTTGTCTCTGTAGTAGTTTCTCGTCCCCGTGGCAGTTCTTCATCTCTATAGTAGTTCCTCGTCCTCATCGTAGTTCCTCGTCCCTGTAGTAGTTCCTAGTAGTGCTTTGTCCTCGTGGTAGTGATTTGTTCTTGTCATAGTGTTTCGACTTCATCTTTGAGTAGTAATAAATTAAGGTCAGTATAAATATTATTTATTAATGTTATAAAGGCAATGAAGAATTAAAGAAAATTCATTATAGAAATTAAATTAATATTAATTAATACGTAGATGAGACTATCCAAGTGAGTTAAATCTTTAAAGCTTGTCAGAGAAAAAAAAAGACAAAAAACAAACAAAATTGAAATTGGTATGAAACATAATTAATATCAAAGAAATACAATATACGACAAAAGTGAGAAGCGAATATCTATTGATTCAGCAATTAGAATTTAAAGATTTTGTACTTTAAAAATACAAAATCTTTAAATTCTGATTGTTGAATCATAGATATTCACTTCTTACTTTTGCTATAATAATTACATAATTCTTATATAAAATTTTGATTTTTTTTTATAATATGTATATAGAAAGTGAGATCGAATCTTTCAGCAATGAAAGTGAGATCAAATCTTCCAGCAGTGAAAGTGATTGAGATAATGAAGGATTTGAACTTGAATTAAATAATGCCTATAATAGAATGTTTAATGTAGTTTCTAAACAAAATGTATTTAAAGCATTAAAGAATAGATTTTATCATGGAAACACCAAATCTACTATGCGAAATAAAAGGCGAAGCTAGAAATTAGCAGCACTTAGCTTCAAAAAAATTACTAATTATTTTAGTTTATACAGTAATAATAACGATAGTAATAATAATGATAGTTATAATAGTAGCAATGATGATGCAGGTACTATATATATATGATATAATAATGTTATACTATAGAGTTATTATTGGGTTTTTTGGTCTTATTTTTTTCAAAAAAAATAAGATCAAAAGATCTGATTATAACTCAAAATAGAGTTATAGTTAGGTCTTTTAGTCTTATTTTTTGAAAAAAAAATAAGACAAAAAGACTCAATTATAGTTTTTTTAACTTATTTTTTTTAAACTTATTGTTAAATAAATATATTTTTAAACTATTATATATTAAGATTTATCTGAAGACAACAATTTCGAATACTTAATATCTGAGTTGGAGCAAAAAATTAAAAAGGATACTCAAGATATTAGGCTTCAATATATTGCGTAATATCTTAGGCTTGTTAAGTCAGGTTTTATCAAACAAAAGGCAAGTAATATACTTTTAACCTCACTTAATCATGGTCTATAGATGGCATGTTTGATACGATTTTGAGACAAACAATATTTAGAGCATGAGTTTATTATAACCTCAAAGAGGGAAAAGTATCAAAAAACTTATTCGCTTTTGTATGATGAGGATATTCAAAATAAAATAGTTCAATTTTTAAATTCAAATAAATTTCAATTGAATATTTCTCAAATCTGTAATTATATTATTGATGAAATCTTTCCAAGTGTTAGAATTAAAACCAAAAAAACTATAAGTAAGAGAATAGTACAAAGATGGTTAGGCAAGTTAGGATGGAAGTATCAACATTATCAAAAGGGATTATATATTGATGGTCATGAAAGAGCAGACGTTATAGAACATAGATATATATTTTTAGAACATATAAAACAATTTGAATTATTAATGCCAAGTTGGTTAGATAATTTAACCCAACAAATTAATCCAGTTTTACCTAAAAATGAAAAGTTACATATTTTAGTAACACATGATAAAACAGTATTTTATGCAAATGATGATCAAAAAACATTTTAGAGACCTAGTAGTAAACAACCATTATGTCCTAAATCACTTGGAGGTAGCTTAATGGTTAGCGAGTTTCTTTGTGATACAATTAGTCGGCTTCAATTAAATAATATTCATAAAGAACTAAATAGTCAACTTCTATCTAAAGAGCAAATTCCTAATGAGGCTTGCTGTATAATCCATCCTAATGCTCATCGTGATAGTTATTGGACCAGAGAAGATGTTGCAAATCAATTAAAAAATAAAGCAATTCCTATTTTTAAAGCTATGCATCCTAATTGTATTGCTGTTTTTGCTTTTGATAACAATAATAATCATGAAGCATTCGCTAAAGATGCTTTAGTAGTATCAAGAATAAATTTTAAATCAGGAGGCAATTAATTCAAAATAAGAAAAACTTATATGCAAAATAGAGAACAGCAAGAAATAGTATTCTCTGATGAAACTCTAAAAGGAATGCATAAAGTTCTTGAAGAAAGAGGTTTAGACTATCCTGATTTAAAAAAAATTTGTGAAAATTGTAAAAAAGGACTTTTTCAAAAAAATAACTATTATGCTACATGAATCTTAAATTTAGAGCCTGATTTTATGAATCAAAAATCACTTCTAGAAGAAATAGTCGAAAAAGCTGGTCACAAAATAATTTTCTATCCAAAATTCTATTGTGAATTAAATTATATTGAAAATTATTGGGGTGCAACTAAAAGATATATACGAGCAAATTGCAATTATAGTTTTAATACATTAAAAAATACTGTTTCAGCAGCTCTTGAATCTGTTTCTTTAATTCAAATACGATGATATGCAAGAAGCTCTTTACATTATATGAGTGCATATAGGTTAGGTTTATCTGCAAAGCAAGCTACTTATACAGTTCAAAAATATAAATCTCATAGGAGAGTACCAGATAATGTAATTAGTGAATTAGATCTTAATTAGATTACGATATTATAGTTTTTTTTACTATCATATGATAGTTCTTTTTAATATCATATAATAGTTTTTTTTTGATAAATTTATTTTTTATACTATACTTTATATTATGATAAATTTTTTTTTATAAATTTATTTTTTAGATGCTATACTTATAATACTATATGTTGTTATTAAAATTAATAAATTTATACAATAGTATACGATAGTTAATATTTTTTAGTTTATAAATATAGTATTATACTATATATTAATACATATCCTACTATAAATATTGTATATATTGCATAGTATTACAAATTTGGTTAGTTAATTAGTCATGTGATTAATATTTTTAAAAATTTTATTAGTTTTTTGTAATTTTCTTATATATAAATAAGTGCTGAAATTTTTATAATAATTAATAAAATTCTATATTTTTAAATTTTAATAACTTTATATTGAATAATTTATTTCAAAAAAGCATTTTATAATTATATTTTACTAATTATATAGAATATAAATATAGAAAGTTTTTTTATATTTTAATTATTTTTTTTTGAGTTATTAAATTTTTTAAAAAATCAAATATTTGGGATATGATTAGCTGTCGCATACCGTAATTAAATAATTAACATCTTTAACATATTTTTTAATACCATATATTTTATATATATATACATACTGTAGTTAGGAAAAAAGAATACAAAATGCTTTTTTTTTTAGATGAACTAATTTTTTAAAATTTTCTCATAGATATTTTCATTTGAATTTTTTTTCAAATAATTTTAGTAAAAAATATATATATATATTGTATATTGTAATAGAATTATTATAGATTTAGAATCTATTTAGATTGATTCTGAATAAATATAAGTTGTAATAGAATTCTAAATAGTACTCGAGTTGTTAAAGAATTTAAATTCAACTTATAGTAAAATTAAGTAGATTCTAAACTATTTTATCAAGTATATTGTTTTAGAATTTAAGTTAATTCAAGATAAGCTTTACTTATAATACAACATATGCAAATTAATTAAATTTAAAACTATTATAAAAAGTTTTTACATCTATAATTACTAGGATAACAGCTACTATCACAAGGCAATTTACTTTTTATACATTTACAATAATTTTTATCATATGCATTTTTGTAATTATATTTAATATTGCCTATTTGCAAAGATAATTGCATAATAGATACTTTTTGAATACTTATAAGTATTGAAAGAATATTATCCAATTCTGAAAACTTGTTAGGACCTAATAGAAGAAGTTCATTAATATTGTATATAATTCTAATAATACCAGATTTATATTCAAGTCTGTATATATTATTTAAGAATTTTGCAAGGAAGTATCTTTCAATTACTATATATTCTGTTAATATCTGAAATCTTGATATATACTAAATCTTCAATATTATACTTGTTTGCAAATTTTTTATTATACTTGTTAAGTTATACCTTCATATTATTGTGATATTGTTCAAGAGACTTCATAGCAATATTTTAATAAACTTCATATGCTAATGTTCTTTGAATAATATTTTTATTCTAGAGATTTTTTTCAGAACTATATTCATTTAACAACTACAAAAAAATAAAATAAATT